AGTGGCAAGTAGCTGTACTGCAATCCAAAGGCACGGGTTTCAAGGCCACCAGCCGCTTTCTAAGGAGGAACTTGCCTCTGAAAATCTGCTGAAGGCTGAGCTAAGGGTCAGTTCTGACTTGAAGGCACACAACTGCCACTTCTGACCGTCACATCTCCACATCCTCAGAAAAACCCTTGATTCTTTTGAGGTTCACACTTGTCCTTTGTTGTCTCCAGCAGTGCTGGTGGATTCCTTTCATTTAATGGAGACTGTAGTTCCTGCTTTGATTTTTACTCTCCGCTCCATCTTCCTGGGTGCCCTTCTCTCCAACCCAAATGCCCTCTCATATTCCTTGCTATTGTCTTAACCCCAACAATTTTCACTTGGTCAATGCACGGTCACATCATACTATGAATTTGATTTTCCCAGATCACTAACTCTAGTCTAACAGCAATTTTCTAATTTTCCAAATGTGTCTATATAACTTAATAAACTTAACAAAATAAACAAAACTGTCTCTCTTCTACTTCTGTTCAACTAGACTGTTTCTTCCCCCGAGTAAGTCTCTTCTCCGAGCTCCTATGCCTCTATTAAATTTCTCTGGGAAAATCCCAACTCTTGGAATGAACAAAAGTACCCTCATTTCCACCCAAGCAGCAGGGGACTACTAGGAAGGGGAAAAAAACACCCCTAAACAGGTAATTTTTACTAGCTATAAATTTGGTTTCTGACATTGCCCTGCAGTCCTACTGCACGTCTGGTCATTTATCCTCAACAAGTATGTTAAAACCTCCTTCCTACCCACCTTTCAATTTCAAGTGATCTGGTCTGACCAGAGAAAACAGAGCTTGCCTCTGTGCTCACCCTTCTCTTGTTCCTTCTGTAACAGAAATGCTCCCTTCCATCTCAGAGATAATTCCACTGCCAGTCCTTTGGATTCCATTGTCATTCATCACCAATCATATCTTTGCCTGCTTCTATTTTTTTCTTTCAGATAGGGCAGTCATGTTAGGTTGATTCTTTGTGATATCTACTACTTGGAAACAATACTGTACGGCCACCGGTCACGAAATTACAATGGCTGAATCTACCTGAAGTGAGGCCTCGGAGAAGACTTGCTCTCCCATTATAAAAGGTAGGCATTCTGTATTGAACACCTGCTCTGTTAAGAGAGACGGGCAATTTCTTCCCATGAAATTTACAGCCTCTGAAAACTAGTTGGGTGTCACTTATGAAATTAGTTCCTTGATGGCAATGGGTTTTTGAGCTTTTGAAATCTACTTGACCTCTCAGCAGCATTCAATACACGAGCTGAGAGATTTCTTTGCGCCGTGGATTTACTCTGGGGTCTCCTTTCATCTCCTTGGCCATCACTTGTCAGTTTCCTTTGCCTGTTTATTCTCTGCTACTTAACCGTAAATACTAGTGGTGCTTCTGTTTTTATCTCAGGTCCTCTTCATAATTTACAGGAAAAATCAGCACTTTTTCTGTGAAAACTTTATTATGCCCCTTTATAGGACACATTTCTTCTACTGTGATTACTCAATTCTCTTGAGGCACCAATGAAATGACCCCTATAACAAATTCATACAATGAGACTTTCTGTCTCCAGACCTACTTACCTTCTCCATTTAAGTGTCTCTGAGACCTTCAACATTAATCAACCCAAGAACTGAGCTCTCCCCGCCACTCCTCAAATCGGGGCTCTCTTCAGAGATAGACTGAAGAGGTACTGCCATCCATATTCACTCATTGCCACCAGGTTTCTGAGAATTCAGGAGAATTCTACTCATTTTTCTCCTGCAGCGTCGCTGACAGATTTGACCTGCCGGAGAAGTGCAGCCTTTGGGTTAGCAGTGTAACAAACAAAGGAAGATGCTGCCACTGTAAGAGGAGCTCTGGTGCTGCGGTCTACAGCAAACTACACTGCTAACGCGAAGGCTGCATCTCTGGAGGTTCAAATCCACCAAGATGGGTATCAACGAGAAGGCAGCGAGTCTGAGGGGGTTTGAGTCATCCATATAGTTGTAAAAGGCAGAAAATATCCCCTCAATACTTGCCTTTATCTCACTTTCTAATTTTTTAAACAGAAAAAATATTTTTTAAAAGGAGGGCTAAAAATGCCATTATGTGAAGCACACAGTCAAATTTAAGTTTCACTAATATGGCTAAACTTTATTTCCATGTTTATTACATGTTTATCTCTGATTTTGAGTACATATATTAGAACTGATTTGACATATGACTTGAGAGAAAAACCTCCACTGAATGAGTTAAAAAGGAATGTAAAACTACAAAATACTTGTTTAAATGTGAGTTCTAAATTATGGCACAGAGAACAATAAATAACTTTGCCATTTTTCATATTCTGTATTTCCAAGATGGATTTCAAGGTTTAAAAAATATTCCTAATTCATTTCATGAAATGAAATAAGGGAGAATCACAAAAGCCATTTTACTTTAAATATAGAGAACAAATAATTTGAGTCTTAGGACAGAACCTGGATCTTCTGTTTAAAAAACAAGCCTTTATGTTACAAATTGAGAGAAATTAATTAAAACGTCAACTCCAAAACTAAAGATATAAAGCAAATCCAAACTTGGCCTTGCTATTGTTTGGGAGAGTAAGGCTGACTGAAGGGTGACAATCAACCCGTCAACAATTTGGTGCTCAGCATACAAATGATCAACTACTAAGCATTTGATGGCAGAAAATGTAAATAAATCAGTTACAAGTGACTTACATATAACAGAATGAATCATTCCACCTTAATCTACTGATTTGTACAAATGTACAGCTTTTCAGTTAATTACTTGATTCCCTGAATGTTTAAAAATAAAACTCCTTCAGATAGTTTGAAACTCTTGAAATTGCAAGAACATAAATACTGTTTGTAGTATAGTTCTAAAGTTTAAAATAATACAAAATTATGGGTGGTTATAAAATTATTGGTAATAAAAAAATTTATTGGTAATAGTTTCTTATAATTCTCTATGATAAACCCCTTCACAGCACATTTTGCAATTATGTGATGTATTCTTAATACTACTAATATTAAGTACATCTTAAAAAATCATCTTAAATTCATTTTTTATCCAGGGATTACAGGATGAAGACTGTCATTGAGCATGAATATAGCCTATTCTCACAAAAAAAATATTTAGAATCACCTGCAAAAACCTATCCTAAAGCCTCTTATTATCCTAATGACAGAATATTTTCTCACGTAACTGTTTAAGACAGATCACATATGGCTTTTCAATTTTTAAAATTTCATATTTAATGTCTTGGTGTTAAAGCTTTTTAAAACTAGTTTCCCAATATAAAGTTCCTAAATGAGAAAAGAAGGGCACAAAACATACATTTCATACTAATTTAGTTTCTCTCTTCCCGGCAATCCAACATTTCATTAAAAATTCAAGGCACGCTCCTTTTCTTAGACATGGATCAGCAAACTTTTTTTACAAAAGGCCAGGTAATAAATATCTTGAGCTTTGTGGGCCGTGCAGTCTTTGCTGTACCATTTAATTCTGCTATTCTAAAGGGAAAGCATCCACAAATAACACATACTCACAAAAACAGGCACTGAGTTTGATTTGGCTTGTGGGTCACAGCTTGCCAACCCCTGCTTTAGAACAGACCTAAACATAAAAGAATTATCTGGGGGAAAACACTCTCTAGTCTGATGCAGTCACCATTTCAGAGTCTAGCAGTCACTGTTTAGATATTCTGATACTCAACAATTTGAATTTATCCAACTTTCCGCTTTAAAATTCTTCTATTGAAACTTATGTCATCATGCTTTCCATGAGGGATAGCTTATTTTCATAAAAATCATGAATACCACCTGAGGGATTGTTTAAAATTAATAAATGATGCTCATACAATTTAATAACCAATTTAATTTTTTAAAACTTAATGAAAAATATAACAGAATCAAAACATTTAAAATAAGTACACTCACTACTGACTCCAATAATTCATTTAAGTAATAACTATAGAATATGAAAAATAAATTCAGAAGTGTAATTACTTTAAAATACACTACTTCCACTTTTGTCAATATTTTACATTTATGTATATATTCTGTAGTGGAAGCAGAAATTCTCTCTAAAAACATTATCTTCTTAAAACCTTGAGGTGCATATTAGAGCCACAGGCAACATCTGACATAGAAAATTGAAGTACAGGCCTTTCAAATTTGGCATTTCACTGGTACAATACAATGACCAAGGTATCATCACTGTACAGTGCCTTGCATTCCGGTAAGAACCATTTTATTTAATGTAGAATGATTAATACATATTCTACAAGGGGCAGTGAGGTTAGTAATTCTATAGGGTATGTCCTGACATAATATTCAAATTGTACAATAACACAAACAACTTTGTTAAGGCCATGTTTTATTTGCTGATTAATGGACAAAAGGCAATGTAATTTATTTTCAAGTATTTTCTTGAAAGTCTGTGCTCATAAAAATCATGAAAAGTTGGAAAGTGTTAAATCACTGAAACTTTAAATATATCTTACACAATCTTGTTTGTACAAAAATACAAGTTAAATACAAACATAAAGCAATCATGATAATTTTATGCAAATCTGTTTTATGTGATCTTCAGTTATATATAAAAATTTCTCAGCTCTGTTATTTGTGAAAAGATCAAAACCAGATTGAATTACTATCTATTGGCAAAGGGCCCTAAAAAGCTTACTTTAACATTAATCTTTTACATAGTTAGGTGTGTTTCCTAATTTGAGGTCGCCTATGCACTGGAAAAAATGAAAAGATGAAAGGGCAGTATGTCCATAAACCAACAAATAATTTGGCTGTAATGTATCATAAAACACAAAGAAACCCCACACATCTTTACAATAAACATTAAGTATTACATATACATACACACACACACGCGCGTGCGCGCACATACATTCTCACTCTCCTGCACCTTCACACAAGTGTACATGTGCGCACATGCCCATATACAAATGTACACACTCATACAGTCATAAACAAATCCTAGTGAGGTGCTGCTTCCAGTTCAATATTCAGGTTGGCATTTTTTCTCACTTCATCAAATGAATAGCTTTTTGTCACTTTTCCATTCCTGAAGACAGTGTGAAGAAGATCCTGTAAAAATACAGCATTAAAATGTAAGTCTCCTAGGAGCTAATACGTAAAATACTATTTTGATAAATTATACTAACCAGACATCTACATAGAGATGTGGATAGTCTTCTAACTGTGAAATTATTTAGTACTCTCCAGAGCAAGGCATTATCCAAGTAAGATATTATCAGAGCAGCATCTATTCAGCAAATCACTCAATTACTCACTCGGCAGAAACATGTATCTTAGGTAATTTTTTCCATACTTAAAAAGAACACTGTTCCATTAGATTGTATTTCTTGGTTTTTTATTTTTTTAAGTAAAACTAGTTTAAGAATATAATGCTTGGATTTTTTCCCCAACCAAGTATTACATTTTAAATTAGTTTTACTTAAAAGGGGAAAAAAAACCCAAACACCAAAAAATGAGAGATACTGGAACAATTTTTTAAGTTTAAGATGGATAATGTCTAGCCCAGAAGAACTAATATTGCTACTGAAATCATTATTGATAGCTGCAGCAAAGAAAGTCTCCCAAACTTTGCCTCATTTTCGCCAACAGACCCACCATTATTTAAATATATCAATTCAGAAGTTTAATTATTATTCATGGAGTTTTAGCAAAAATAAACAAAATATAAAACAAAACCAAGTACTGATTTCTTGGCTAATTCACAGTGACTGAGCTAATGACTCTGCATACTCCAAAAGTTACTGATTCAGGTTACCAATGATTCAAATCCAGAGTAATAAAGCCAGCTGTCAGGGACCTCTCCAGAGTACTGAAAAGCAATGACATCACGCTGGAGACTAAGGTGCACCTGATTCGGGCTACAGTCTTTGCAATTGTGTGCTATGCACCAAAGAGCTGAATAATGACTTGGGATAACAGAAAGAGAATTGATGCCTTTGAGCATGGACACAAGATCAAATGGACACAAGCTTGTTGAGGATCACCAGTCACCATCTTACTGGTCACTATGTGGGAAAAACTTTTTTTAAAAATTATTACTATTAATTTTAATGAAAGTTTGGGTAAAAACTTTTTTAAAAGTTTCCATCTAATGTATATACAGGATTATGAATTAGAATTACAACAAACCATACCCTGAACTGTGGTGGTTTTTCTGAGGAGCAGATACAGCTTATTATTAATATGTACTACATATAATGTTTCAGGGCATAATTTGTTCATGTTCTCATCTCAGATGTTCACCTGCAGATAATGTTATGATTTTAAAAATCTCAGTGCTACTGAGTCAATCCTGACTCATGGGGATCTTCTATCAGGTTTTTTTTTCTTATGTAGGAGAAATATACTACTACTCAACCTCTCCTGTAAGGCTGGCAGCCCTGAGAACTCCTTTCTTAATGTAGCATGTTATGGAAGTCTACCTGTTCCTAAAGGAATGAGGAGCAGGTATTTCCACATGCAATCTATCAGGTTTCTGAGGCTTTAAATCTTCAAAGAAGGAAGGAGACTGCCCTTCTTTTTTACCAGGACCAGCTGGTCAGGGTAAAACCACGACCTTTTCCCTTTCAGTTAGTAGCCCAACACGTAACCCTCTATGCCAGAAGAAACAGGAAGGTGGAAGTATTCAACTTATGTCAGAATCAATTTATGTATGACAAAGTTGTTGGAACTGGACCCTACTGTCAGGTACTACCTAAAAAGGAATCTTTATTTATGGCCAGTGTCTTTTTGGTTTTTATCTTATTTTGGAAGGCCATGCCAATATTTACACATTTTAAAGTCTTTCAGGAAAATTATTCTGAACATACTCTGAAAAAAAAAAAATATATATATATATATATCAGCATGTATACATACATGACCATATTCTTCAAGATCTCCTTTTCCTTCTTCAAGTGTTACAAAATTCCCTGCTGGTGTCCTATGTAAAGATAATCGACCTTTTTTTGATCTTTTGTTGGGATCAGCAACTGGATCCTTGAAGACATTAATCTGGAATGCAAATAGAGTCAGAGGTATGGAAGACTGATTAGAAAATGTCACTCAATTCCCACATGAAAAAAATAAAGGAAAGCCATTGCTGACTTTCAGAAATATAACCCTAGCCTGTTCTGGAGGACAAGGTCATCTGTCATGAAATCAAGCTTAGATATCCTTTCTTGCCACTGAAGAAAAAGAATCACCTTCTATACTACAAATTACCTTTAAACTGCTACTTAGTATATATACACTACTAAAAGGAAAGAAAGAAAACTTCTTCTACATGTAATGGTAGAGGGAGTTTCCTATTCCATAATCTTTTCCTTTTGCTCATTTTTACTTTATTATTGCCGAGCAAAAAGCCCTTCGAAAATCTCAGACAGGAGAATATTGCTTCAGGATGATAAAAGCAGGAGGCAAAACATTATACAAATAACTAATGGTGGGGAAAAAAGTATACCTGAAGTCAGTACCTCTTTCCCCTTAAGAGAAATACAGTGAAGGTTCAACAAAGGTGTTCTTTGGAACAAAGTTCTCGGCACAGTCAATCAGCTGTCATTCCCACTGCAATCTGTGGGCTTTGATCCAAAAGTATATACTAAAGCATTAGGAAATAAATGGCCTGCATGTCTTTTTTCCTGAAATAATTTTCACCTTTTTCAAGTATCTTTTTTTTTGGTCTTTAGTAAGGTTATAGACATTTCTCTTCTTTCCTTATTTCTGAATCAAGGTTTTTTTAACAAACAAGGTACTAAATATCCCAGGACTACTTTAAATGTATTCAGTAACTTTACTGAACTTCACCCTAGATTTACAAAGAAGTTATTAACATACAAAAGTAAAAGTTGAAGAACATACCCCAAGGCCATTGGTTACAACATAACTACATTTGAAGGAACAATTTAAGAGGTCTCTTGTTAACTTCTGTAGCAAAGCTCCACCAGAACCAAAGGACACATTTTCAATACTCCACTTTTTTTGCTTCATGCCTTCAACAATCTAGATGATTAAAAACAAACACCAAAATATAAAATTAGAAGATGGATGTGATTTTCTTAACAAATGGATCATTCTTGTCAAAGTCAGAAATGACAAAGGCAGGCTTACACAAAGTTGTACCCCCCCTTTTTTAACCACCTTTCATTTCAAAAAGGAAAACCTTTCATCTGTTTGAAAAGGGCAGTTTCATTCATTTCTGATTTTGTGTTGCCATCACTATTCATTACTGCGGTTAAGTCGGGGGTAATGAAGGAAATGAGAGAGAAAGGTAGCTGTAGTTTGTCTCTTTTTTAAGAAAGCTTAAGTTAATTCTTCTCTTAAATTAGTGTCCAGATACCAGCAGCACAGGCACTGAGGCCTCAGACATATATTTATGCCCAACTGCTAGGCTGCAGAAATAACTCTAACCAATAAGCTGTGGTATGTCCTACAATTAAAGGTCCAACCTACTCTGGTAGGCCCCAAGTCAGAGAGATGAAGTTTCACCATCCTTGCTTGTAAGGAGCACTCTGACTGTACTTTCTTTAAGACAGATTTATTCTTTTGCATGTTCATTATGCTGTGCCATTACCACAATGTCAAGGCACTGATTCTTCTGTCATCCTTATTCACTGTCCACTTTCAGATGCACAAGAAGCAACCGAAAATACCATGGACTGGATCAAGTGCACCTTAGTCTTTAAAACAATATCCTTGCCCTTTAGAGATTTTTGTTTTCTTGACACTGAAATGTAATCTATAATGAAGGCTGAAGTCTTTGAACTTCTGCAGCAAATGCTTTAAGTCTTCTTCATTTTATGCAAGCAAGGTTGTGTTGAGGAATAGATAATGTGGTTTGATTTTATACTTTCTAAATTTTAAGCAATTGAAAGAACTATTATACAGAGTTTTAACTTACAAGTATCAAATTATCAAGTTTCTTATTAAGCTAATAAAAAAGAGCTTCTTTAAAAGGACTGACTTACTGGAACTTAATATAAAACACATACCTCTTGTAAGGTATTAATATCTACTCCATCTCCTTGAATAACTCTAAGGTAAGGTGGCAGCAATTTGTAGCCTTTTGAGTTCTCTGTAACGGGGAACTTCTTGCCTAAAATATCCAAAACCTGTATGGAAAAAAACACAACCAATACAAAATAACTACAACTGAAAATAAATGTAAGCTCTTATTAAAAACAAAGCAAGCCAACAAACTTCCAATACTCTGCTTGAGAATATAAAAACTCATCAAATTACCTTTAAAATTTTAATACTGTGTATGAGCTCTTTTAAACTTTTGTTTAAAAGGTCCTAACCTTTTGTAGTTATATAAAATAACCTATGTTCTATTGTTTCAGTTGTTCTTGTTAGGTACTGTCAACTCAACTATACTCACAAAACAACAGACTGAACCCTGTCCAATTCTGCGCATTTCTTACAATCTCTGCTATGCTTAAGTTTATGTTTATTAGCATTTTTCAAAGATGACAAATCAAGTCTTAAATATTAAAAATATATCTTCAGTTCAATACTTAACACTGATGTACTGAAAAGCCACATTATTTCAAAGAACCATTACAGGAGAAGTATTTTCTAATTATTTTTAATCCACAACACACTGAATATATTTCTTTTGGCCTGAAAACCTCATATATCTGTGACTTGGGATAAAGGAAAAGAAACCACAAATAAACAGAGTGACTATTTTACAGGATTAATCAAAATGGCATAATGCTATAAATTAATCTTGAAATATGAAAAAAAAAATCCGTTCAATAGTACACAACTATGATTTGACAGTATACAAATTACTAACACCCTTCTCTATTAATTAATGTGTGACCATAGATAAATCTATTACTTCTTCTGGTCTATAACTCTGAAATAAGGAGACAGCTCTGAAATGGTGTTATTTACAAATGAAATGACAATCAGTTTTGATACAGTTGATCTACATGCTTTTTAATTAAGTCATATGTTAACTTTTACCTTTAAAACAGTGTCAAGAGGATTTCCAGAATCAGGTCTGATTATTAATGGTGCTTCTGTACTTCTTGATACTATTAAATGTCTTAGATCTTCACCCCATATTTTCTCACACGCATTATAAATGTCATAGCTATCGCTGACCACAGATACAGGCACTGATGAAAACTGTGTGACTATGTGTTCAAAAGCATCTTTTTCATGGTCTTTCCCCCAGGCTGTTATGGTGCTGCAAAACAAAATGAAAACGAGATTTACTCAAAAGTCACATGATCTAGCTTTCAATTAAATGTGATTCATTATCTCATGCTTACTATAAACTGTCAAAATCACAGAGAAGGATTCAGATTAATGAATACAATCATATAATAAATTTAATTTCTGACTAAATCACTCCTTGGCCAATATATATTTAATGGTGTGTAGCTTTCTTCCTCTTCAACAGTTAATAATTTTTAAGTGATATTCAACCAATTAGAAGAATTTATATTGCTATTTCTAAACTTACAAATTTAAAATTAGTGAGCTAAAAATTACTTGCTTACTACAAGTATATGTATATATCTGTATATGTTAGAGATGTCAGAAAGATGAGAATAGACTAACATTACTTTTGCTACACAATGCCAAGTACTTTGTTCTCTTTTGAGAACTTTAATGTTGGTAGACGCAATAAATACTTATTCAGAAAATTAATGGTTTTCCAGTGGAGGCTGTTTTATTTTACCATTCCTTCAAACACAAACACTTTGCTTGGTCTTGCCAGTGACTTACGATTCTTTCTTTGCAGCTCTGTAACTGTACCTCTTTCAAAGTACTTAATCAACAGTGCAAAATGTTACCAGTGTACTATTTGTACCGTGAGGACAGGGTCAAGGGTTTGTTTTTTAAAGATCTCTTTCTATTCCTTGAAGCTTTGTATGTGTCAAATATTTTTTTTAAATCAGCTTTATTCTAAAAACAATGCTGGTTTTAGTAACCTGAGCCATTTTCAAGTATTAGACCGTAATACTCACCACTTATTGATTACAGCAAATAATCTGCATTCTAACAACCAGATAGATCTTTATTAGGCTACTAATGATTAAGTGTTAAAAAAATTGCACTGATTTCAAATAAACTCTAGGTACACAGAAGCTATATAAATGAGGCTGAAAACATGAAATTTTACCTGTGTTCTGCAGCTGGAACAGAATAACCTGGAACAGGATCTTTTGTTCCATAGTATTTCTTAATTAAAGCAATCCCTGCTACTGTATCTGTTCCTTTGAAGTTAACCAAATGAGCAGAGGCCCCTATGCCAGCAGTCTGGAAAATAAACCATACACAAATACAATAAATAAAAACCTTTAGTTGGGGTCTATGTGGCACTAGACACAAAATAATTTTCTTTAGCTATTCTTGGAGAGATATTAAACTATTACCAGAGGCAATGGTTCCTTATGACCAAGATTCATTTCTTTCAAATATTTTAAGGGTTCAAATATTATTACCTCTTAAAAAAAAAAGATCTATTTAATAGTACCCACACCCAAAAAATATTACCCTCTATTCTCTTACCTGTATTTCTCTACAACATTATCTGACATCTGACATAGTGCATATGTGTTTAATTACCCATTACATAAAGGACATAGACGATTTTGTTGATTGCAATTATATCCCATTCTAAACCCACAATCCACACTGTATTAAGTGAGGTTCATCATCATAATGTCTTACCTCTTGGGAAGAGACTCCTCTGTACCCAAAATCATGCAATTTATATTCCAGACCATCTAAGTTACCAGAAGTTTCTAATAAATATTTGGCCAGTATTTTCTTCTGCTCTCTTGAATTTGTTGCCACTGTGATTGGATACCAAGACTGAACAAGAATAGTCTGTAATAACAAAATTAATCACAAATATTAATACATAAAACAGTAAATTCTTTCTGAGGAAAAGATCAAGTTTTTTCTGCATATATTTTCAGACTTTCACACTTTCAGATATTTCAATTGTGTAGAAAGATCCTTATGAATTATCCTTTCATTCATGCCCTTAACTTTTTACCAAAGATAATGAGAAGAAAACAATAAGAAATATTTCTGGTTTTGCTATAAAACTGCAAGCTATGAGTTGCAAGCGACTCGACGGCATATAACAACAACAAGAAGTATGTCTCAGTATAGTGCTGTTTCTGTTGTTACTTCCTAGGGCATATCCTCTTATAGATAAAAATCTCAAACTCCTGAGAAAAGATTATTAGTGTAAAAAATTCAATAAAAAAAAAATTTCAATCATGAGAATATATGACTGCTTAGATACTGAAGCAAGGAAAAGAAAATGTTTGCAATCAACTCAGAACCTATTAAGGACTTTCCTCCTTTTTTTGGCCTAGAAATTAATTAAGAAAATGGATGAAATACTCTAGGGCTACTCTGGTAAGACTAAATAAATAAATTGTTAAAAGTAAACCAAAATCCCTTTAGTTTAACTGGAACATCAGTGCTTTTTTTCCCCAATTTTAAGAAAATTTACACTTAGGATTGCAACAAAGAAGACAGATACCAACTAAGTTTTAGAAGAACTAATTATAATTTACTTAAGTAAAATGAAAGAACATTTTATTTTACTGGAAGGAACTGTAAAGATTATTCCCATCTGCCATTTTATAAAGGAGGAAATTTAGTCCTGGAAGTGTTAAATAAATTATAAGACATTATCCTGTTGTTGCTAACTTCCCAGTAAGAGCAGAACTGTCTTGCTGTGTTTGCAAGGCTATCTTCTTTATGGGAGCAGATGATTCTCCCAAGAGACAGCTAGCTGGTAGGTTTGAGCCAATGACCTTTCTTTGTAATGGCAAAGAGCAAAACTATTGTGCCACCAAGATGCCACAGAGCTTTAGTAGTAACAAATCCTAAAGTAGTATCCTGGTTCAATGATCTTTACACCTTCAAGCAATACTAAATAAAAATAATTTAAAAGAAAAGTTCACCTCAATCCAATTCGTAAGCCAGTAACATTCTGGGTCTGTGTTTTCTACTGTGAAGAGAACGTTTCCTCTGGGAATGACAGAGCCCTCTGGAACAGCTTTTATTTCTATTGGAAGATGCCCATCATATCTCTGGTAAAAGACAATAATGTATTTATTCAACAGATTATATTACATTACCTTTTAAGCTTGTTTATATTTTACAGTTGCTAAATTTTACTATCACAGTGGTAATTGTAGATTTTACATTTGTTACAGGTAGTACTCTAGTAGAGAATCTTATCTTATAAAATAACTTATTTTCGTGGAGTCGGAATCAACTCATAGCTGATCCTCCAGTGAGTTTTCAGAAGCTGTTAATTTCTCACACTGTCAAAGCATTTCTGACCACTGGAGACAATTTAAAATAGATCTAACGGAAAAATAAAATAAAATTCAATAAAATTTTCACACTTGCAGGGAAAAAAAATTCAACAAATCAGATGAGTTTTATTCTAATATGTTTCAAAAGTATTCCAAGAACATTATCTTTCTTTTAAATATACCATTTTCAGAAAAGGTAAAATTAAAAATGACAGATGAAAGCAAAGGTTACTAATAAAGATCAAAAAAACAAAAAAAATAAGAGAATTTCCACTTTTGCTTTGTCAAGAACCTTACAGGGCATTTATTGTTAGTAGACCTGACACAATGAGCTAGATCGATCACAATTATTTATTCTACAGCCTTTAACTGACTTCTTAGAGTGAAATAAATGCCTCTAAAATTAGGATGAAGGCATAACTGCTAAACAGTTGTGTTACATAACTATGTGCTCCTCTCTGCCCTCCTCTCATTTTCCCCCCAAAACGAAAACACTGCGGCAGCTAACTTTTGCCTAAAAGATGACAAAGCTGCTACAGAATCTTCAGATTACTGATCAACTATAGAACAAAATTAAGTAAAACAGAAATCTGTTTAATGGGAAGCCTTGATTATTACTGTCACTGAATCAGTGCACAGAACACTGGGCAGAAAGAAGCACGGTCCTGTCCAAACAATCACGGCTATGCTTGAGCCCACTGTGCCAATACACGACAGACACATGATATAATGAAGAACATGGCCTTAGAAATCTGCAGGGAGACCTGGGGCAAGTCACTTCGTACTTCTGGGTCTCAGTCTGTCTGTGTTTGCAAAATAGAGTTAGAAAAACCTATACATCTCTAAGATTCTATGAACATGTAATCGAATGATTTACCACCCAGGCCACTGGGGATTATATTAAGTCTGGTGGCCTAGCGGCAGGAAGCTATGCTGCAATCCCAAAGACTACCAGCTGCTCCGCAGGAGAAGAATGACCATCTCCTCCCATGAGATTAACTGTCTCTGAAAACTCACTGGAGGGTCAGTTCCAAAATGATGGTACACACAACTATAATCAATTTACTGGAAGCAGGAGTAGCATCCACTTCCTAAACAACATGCCTCTGGAAACTACGAACTTTGATAAATGTTGATAGTTGTAGAGGGGCTTTAGGCCTTTTGTTCATAGGGTCCCTATGAGTTGTGCTTGACTCTAAGGCAATCAACAACAACATAGTATCTAAGTTATCTGTTACTATATTCTATCTTCATAAAAATGTGAGATGGGATTAAGAAATGGTCAAAAGACTTTAAAAATAGGGGAAAACTGCAGCATAGAGTACTTAGGTGACCTCAACAGCTCAAAATTAGCAAGTTATAAAACTCAGTATTATAATGCAGACATTAATATGACAATATTTGAAATTATTTTGTGGTTGGTAGTCAATAAAAGGAAAAAGCTTTCATTTATAAGACATATTTGACTAATACTTAGCAGCACATTTTAATGGTATTTTTAATCTGTATTTGTAATAAAACTACCAGTGGACATTCAAATCTTATACCCAAGTCTTTGGATGTCCAGAAGGTCCAGTAAGTGCAAATATGCTATATATGAGTATTACAGTACAAGAGATTGAAGATGCATCTGTACCAAATCATTCTGCCTCTTCAGTAAGGGGAATCACTCAGAATTACTTTGTAGTAAAAGGCTTGTTTTCTTAGGTAATCTACAGTCAAGGAACAAGACTTTAAAATTTGAAATTGTCAAATAACCATGTACTTTCTTTTTTTTTAATTTGTTGTTGTTGTGTGCTATTGAGTCAGATCCAACTGGCACAGGAGGAGATTGCCCCTCCTTCTCCAGGGGAGCATCTGGTGGATTCCAACCCTGAACCTTAGGGATTGCAGCACAGCTTCTTGCCACTAGGTCACCAGAGCTCTCTGGAATTTTGTTATTGTATATCACAGAGTTGGAAGTGACCCATAGCTGACCCTCCAGCAGGTTTTCAGTGGCAGTTAATAGCATGGGAGGAGACTGCCTATCCTTCTCCTGTGGAGCAGCTGGTGGCCTCAAACCACATGCCTTGAGATGGTAGCATGGCTTCTTGCCCCTAGGCCACTAGAGCTCCCATGCACTTTCTTAATTATGATAAGAGCTTCAAAGAAATGGTAAAATCATCTTTCCAACAAATGTTAGTTTTTTTGAAATTATAACTTGCTTATCTTACACCAAAGGCATGAATCAAACCAATTTGCTTTCTAAATTATTTTTTAATAAAAAGAATTAATTTTTAAAAACATGAATGCAGTCATTAAAAAGTTATTGGTGACTTGCCACCAAAAGCAAAAAATAAAATGTCACCAATAACTTTTTAATGACTGCATTCATGTTTGATTCATGCCTTCACGCACATTTTGTGTCATAATATTAAGTGTAGCACCCACAATGTAATCCCACTCTCCCTCATTTCATCCCTGTAATTCTCGTTTCCATGAATCGTTCTAGCCTGCCCCATCCTGCCTTCATAGTTTTATCTTTGGGCAAATGTGTTTTTGTCCTTATATATGTTGTTAGGAGGGTTTGGAAAGGCAGGGGGTCAGTGCAAGAGAAGAAGGCCATCATGGAATCAGGGCCTGTACCAATGGAGTCAAGTGTGTTGTAGAATGTGAGGCTGACTCCAGATAGAGTCATTGTTCACAGAGTTGCTATGAGTTGTAGGTGACTCAAGGGCACATAACAATAACCCTTAACTTTCACACACAAAAAAATACCTATTATATTCAGATCACAAATAGAAGAAAATTTTAATTATAAAGTAAAACCCAAAATATATAAAAACATTTCTTACCTCAAGAATGTAATTCCATCCTTTCTCATTGAAGACATCATCTTGGAAATGCTCCTTGTAGACTTCTTTGGCTTCCTGGATTTTCTCTTTGGTCACTACTTTACCTAAAATTGCAAAGATTTCTTGTTTATATTTCTAAAGGCATTGAGTGCTACTGAACTGTCATAGTATTAATGTCCCTAGCAATTTCATTCATTATATGGATGAAAATGTAAGAACCAAGAGGTTTAGTGACTTAACGAGTCAACAGCTGATCCAGAAAACGAATTAGCACTTTAACCTTTCACTCATTAATTCTATGCATAAAGTAGGTATAGATTTTTAAATTAAATGCATAATTTTAATAAAAACCAGTCAGTTAACTCAGTATTTAAAAAGACCTTTGATATCTCTATTTGTATATTGTTCAAATTTGGAAAAAAACAGCCCACTGCTGCAGGGTAAATTCTGACTCACATGGATCTTTTAGAAAGAGCAAAACTATCCATGGAAGGTTTCCCAGACTATAAATCCTTATGGAAGCAGACTGCCACATCTCTCTTCCATGGAACACATGGAGGGTTCAAACTGAAACTGCTGACTGCTTTAGAATGCAGTTGAGACTAAGTCTACAGCAATAGGTAATTCACACATATCGTGCTTCACACATTCCTTCAGTCACATTTTATACAATCATTTATATACACTGTGTTTTAGAAAATCAATCACTATTGATCTATGCCTTCCATTTCCTCATCTTTTCAGGTTTATTTTTTTTATAATTATATTTTATTA